TATTAAATAATAAGGATAGGAATCCTTATTCTCAAGGGGGGTCCCTCAAAGCACCTGTATTGGAGGTTGGACTGTAGAGGCCATGCTTTAGGGATACATAAACAGAAAGTAGAAATAACCATGTGGGTTAACCATACTTATCTAGTGAAGTACTGCTTAAATGGAGAAAGAAAGCATTAAAAGTCAACTCAATGATGACCTTGTGCTGGGGGGGAGAAGGACCCTTTTCTTCAATTAATAGGTTGCCCCTTTACACTTGGTCAATTTTGGGTACTGTTGCATCACTTCAACCCATGTGCAGGGGCTCTAAACTACACACAAAGCTACTGTAACAACAAATGACAGTACCCAACAGATACCTTGGGAAAGCGAAGACGCTGTTTAAGGAAAAGAGAAATGCTGGGTACAGAGCAAACGAAGTAGAAACCCAACAATGAGATCACAATGGGAGGAAGGTAAGGAGAAAAGGATACACACAGGACAGTCACACGACAGCCAGAGGGAACCACAGACAGAACCACGAAAAACAGAGACAGACAGAGACATGAGAAAGACCAGAGACACACAGAAAGGGACAAAGAGAAAGAGAAAGAGACAGAGAAAAGGAGAGAAAACAGAGTACAACAGGAGGAGACGAGAAGACAGAGACAGACAGGACAAAACAGACAGACAGAGAAGACAGAGACAGACAGAGACAGACAGAGACAGACAGAGACAGACAGCAGAGAGAGACAGGGGACAGACAAAACAGAGACAGAACAGAGAGAGACAGAGACAGAGACAGAGAGAGACAGAGACGACCAGGACAGAAGAGAGAGGACAGGACAGACAGAGACAGACAGGAAGACAGAGCAGACAGAGAGACGGGAGACAGAAGAGAGACAGAGAGACAGGAGAGACAAAAGACAGAGACAGACAGAGACAGACAGAGACAGACAGAGAGAGAGAGAGAGAGAGAGAGAGAGAGAGAGAGAGAGAGAGACGGCTGTTACATGAATGAATAGACGGATGAATGGAGGGAGGGATGAAGACGTGAGTGGAACCAGAAGACGAGACAGAAGGAGATAGAGAGAGGAATAGAGATGAAAATGTAGACTGACCTGTGAGAGATCGGGGATATCACCCTGATCTATTCCAACTTGCTGTTGTCACAAACACCCAACGGAAAAACAAACAAACACCCAACAGAAAAACAAACAAATAGGCCAACGGAAAAACAACAGGGGAAAAGGGGGGACAAGAAAAAAACAAAGGGAAAAAAATCAAAACAAAAGGAATCATTACTTTCATGCAGTGGCTACTGTGGCTGCGTCCCAATTAGCTCTCCTTCTTCCTGAAGTGTGCACTTGATCACTACTTCCCACGAATGTAAAAGCATTGTATTGGTGGAGGCCTGGTGTGTTCCTAAATACCAGTCATGTCCTTTCAAATCCATGTTGTGTGTATGTACTGACATGTGGAACTGATAGATGCACACTACATGTTAATGTTTTTAAATGTATGTCAATTGTAAAGTGTTTTGTCTGTGATGTATTTTTCGTCATGTGTCGGACCCCGGTCAGACTAGCTGTCCCCATTGGCGTCGGCTAACGGGGATCCTAATCAATCAAATCAAACCATGACGAGAGGTGAACAAGTGCACACTTCAGGAGAAAGGAGAGATTATTGGGACGCAGTGTTTTGTAAACAACGGAAACACAACAGCGGAAAACAAAACGAGGATTCCAACCAAACATGCTGACACAACCAGACCGATGAATATGATTGGACGATCTTGAGTGTCTTGTGACTGACCAATGGGGGGACGAGACATGGTGTGGATGTAGTGAATGAATGGTGAGCAAATTGAACACTTTTAAAAAGCTCCAAAAACAACATTGGAACAACATTGAAATAATATTGTATACAGAGATAGAGGCTGGACAGTAGATGTGTGATGCTTTACTTGACAATCAGTGTTAGATGAACATCAATTTAGAGGACATTTGTGGTTGCAATTCTGGTTCTGTTAAGGAGTAAAAAGCCTGATAAAACTAGGTAGGAGAGGAGGGGGGGGGGGGGGGGGGCCTAAAAAAAAGCACCTATCCCCCATCTAAGGGCCATTTTCGGAGGTGTAAGCTTGCATACATGAGTTGGCGTACTCTGTGTGTGTGTGTGTGTGTGTGTGTGGTGTGTGTGTGTGTGTGTGTGTGTGTGTGTGTGTGTGTGTGTGTGTGTGTGTGTGGCCTTTTCTCGTTTGGGCAAAAAGTCTGTCCTCTCTCCTCCGTCCTCTCTCCTCCGTCCTCTCTCCTCTAGAAACCGATAAGTGGTCGAGGAGTGTGTCAGTTAGTCAGTTAGTTCACGGAAGACTGTACTCCCCTCCTTGATAGCCTCCTTTTGGCGAAGAAGTACAAGCGTATCCTACCACGGAATAGTTTTTATATCTGCCACACCCCGTATAAAATCAGCTGTTGGTATTGTCGGAGGGAAAAAAAAAAAAAAAGCACACATTTAAAAATGATACGCTACGTTTTATCTATCAAATCGCTAAGTTAAAAACGAATGATCCCCTTCCTCCTTTATTTTGGGATCCACCCCTGAAAAGGTAATTTGCCTGATGATGCGCGAGTAGAGAAGGAGCTTCTGGGTGTGTTCGCACGGTAAGCCTAATGAAGCAGATTGTAGACGAAAGTCATCGAGTAAAGTCTGGGGAGGTGCATCTGCAACAGCCGGATTCCAACAGCAAGGCTCAAATCAACACGGCTGCTTTTGTTTAGAAAAGTTTTTCTGTATAAATGTCTAAATAAACGTTTCCATAGCCCATATCACACACCCACAAACTGGACACATAACGTGTGTACAATTCATTGGTTACTGACAGGTCCCAAATATCACTTTCCTTTGTATGCCCTGTAGCTTGAGAATCACAGCAAAGTTGGTTCCCGCTTCAGTCAAGTCTTTGGCCACGTTGGCGTGGCTCAACCAAAAACACCCTAATGGCTGGTTGATGAATAATTCCTCCCAGAATGCAGGTGACGGCTGCCTGGTGCAGCTGGTGAGAAGCTACTGCAGCGACTTCATCTAAAAACGCCATGACCTTTGATCACATGATTTTTTTTGTAAAGTTCATGCAGTCGACATGTCAGTCGCAAGTCTGACAATGTTTATAACCATAATGCAACACTAAACGATGGTCACCGAGTTGACAATTGTGATCCGCCCGAACGCAGCCATTCATTTCACACAAGCGCATTTTCGTCCTATCCTCGATTACCTTTGACCTTTTTCAAAAGTAGGCGAGAGAGAGGACGGAGAGAGAGGACGCAGGATTTGAAAAAAATCGAATTGAGAAAAGGCCTGTTAGTTTGTGTACAGTGTGCGTACCTCTGCTACTTTGAGAAACTCAGACAGCTTGGTCATCCTGTACAGGAACTTCTTATAGATGTCCAACGCCTCTTTACACTGACCCTTCTTCAGATCAAAATACTTCTCTGAGAAAGAGACAGAGAGAGCGAGCGAGAAAGAGAGCGAGAGGGGGGGGGGGGGGGGGGGGGGGGGGAGGGGGAGTAGGTGGGGGGGAGGAGCGGAGGAGGAGAGGGAAGATGGGAGAGAGAGAGGGAAAGGAGCAAGGGGGGAAAGAAGAAACACAAAAGGACATAGAAAAGTACAAAGAAGCCATTAAGTAGAGGGGGAGACAGAAAGTAGAGAGGGAGACGGAAAGTGGAGAGGGAGACGGAAAAGTAGGGGGCGAGAAAGAAAGAGAGGAGTACGGAGGAAAAGTAGAGAGGGAGAGGGAGAGACGGGAAAGTAGAGAGGGAGACGGAAGTAGAGAGGGAGACGGAAGAAAGTAGAAGAGAGGGAAAGTAGAGAGGGAGACGGAAAAGTAGGAGAGGGAGACGGAAATAGAGAGGAGAGGAAAGTAGAGAGGGAAAAGTAGAGAGGGAGACGGGAAGTAGAGAGGGAGACGGAAAGTAGAGAGGGAGACGGAAAGTAGAGAGGGAGACGGAGAAGAGAAAGTAGAGAGGGAAAGTAGAGAGGGAGACGGGAAGTAGAGAGGGAGACGGGAAGTAGAGAGGGAGACGGAAAGTAGAGAGGGAGACGGAAAGTAGAGAGGGAGACGGAGAGGGGGAGAAAGTAGAGAGGGAGACGGAAAGTAGAGAGGAGACGGAAAGTAGAGAGGGAGACGGAAAGTAGAGAGGGAGACGGAAAGTAGAGAGGGAGACGGAAAGTAGAGAGGGAGACGGAAAGTAGAGAGGGAGACGGTAAGAGTAGAGAGGAGAGACGGGAAGTAGAGAGGGAGACGGAAAGTAGAGGGTAGAGGAAGTAGAGAGGGGGGAAAGTAGAGAGGGAGACGGGAAAGTAGAGAGGGAGACGGAAAGTAGGAGGGAGACGGAAAGTAGAGAGGGAGACGGAAAGTAGAGAGGGAGACGGGAGAGAAAGTAGAGAGGGAGAGGGAAGTAGAGAGGGAGACGGGGAAGTAGAGGGGAGAGGAAAGTAGAGAGGGAGAGGGAAAGAGAGAGGGAGACGGAAAGTAGAGAGGAGGGAGACGGAAAGTAGAGAGGGAGACAGAAGTAGAGAGGGAGATGAAAGTAGAGGAGGGAGAGGGAAGTAGAGAGGGAGACGGAAGTAGAGAGGGAGACGGAAAGTAGAGAGGGAGACGGAAAGTAGAGAGGGAGACGGAAAGTAGAGAGGGAGACGGAAAGTAGAGAGGGAGACGGAAAGTAGAGAGGGAGACGGAAAGTAGAGAGGGAGACGGAAAGTAGAGAGGGAGAGGGAGGAGACGGGAAAAGGTAGGAGAGGGAAGAGGGGAGGAAGTAGAGAGGGAGACGGGAAAGTAGAGAGGGAGACGGAAAGTAGAGAGGGAGACGGAAAAAGTAGAGAGGGAGACGGGAAAGTGAGAGGGAGACGGAAAGTAGAGAGGGAGACGGAAAGTGGAGAGGGAGACGGAAAGTAGAGAGGGAGACGGAAAGTAGAGAGGGAGATGGAAAGTGGAGAGGGAGACGGAAAGTAGAGAGGGAGACGGAAAGTGGAGAGGGAGACAGGAAACACTTAGCACTTCAGAAATACATCTCAACCTGTCAAGACCCAGAGCCACAGCAGTGTAAACATACACACACACACTCACTCACTCGTGTTAGACAGCGGTGCTCACATCAGCCTATAAAACACAGTGTTCGTTGACATTCCCTGTCTAAGAGTCTAACGTCAGTAGATTTAAATCACATCAAATAGGCGCAAGAACCATAATCCCATGCAAGAACCCACACAATGTGAATAGGATAATATCCAACAGTACCAATCTAGTGTTTGACAGCAGTGCTCACAGCCTACACATACACTGAGGACATTCACTGGTTGAGGCTAACATCACATATACATGCAATTAAAAGGGTCAAATAACCATAATTGTGCTTCAAAAATAGACACTATTTTAACCACAGGGCTGACACCAAACTGACAATACATTTACATTTGGAGTCATTTAGCAGACGCTCTTATCCAGAGCCACTTACAGTTAGTGAGTGCATACATTATTTTTGTATTTTTCCTACTGGCCCCCGTGGGAATCGTCTATGACGTGTCTCTAAACCAGGGTTCTCCAACTGTCATCCCGTCGGCAGAATTTAGCCCGCGGCTAGTTTTATTTGGCCCCCCAAGTTTTCAACCCCCCCAAAAAAAACATTTATTATTTTTTTTCATTGTTGGACACAGAAGACTAAAAACGACAGGAAATCAGCTGCAAGTGATTTTAATTTAAGAAATCTGTTCCCAAGTATTCCCACGCATAATAGAGACATGTGACCTTATACAAAATATAAGCAAGGTTTGAAATGATTATGTTTTAGTCAAATATTATCTGTTTGTGCTTCTTCTGGTCAAATTGCAGTCTACAAATTATTCGTAATTATGTTCCGGCCCCCCGACCATCCACTCAAGAAAAAAAAGTTGATGATCCCTGCTCTATACCCTTTGCTCAGTAAGAAGGAATCCTTAAATCTGATTCTAGACCTGTCCTTACCCAGTAGGTTGATGCCTCCCTCGTAGGCAGCAAACAGAGTGATGGAGTCTTCATACTGACATTAGATCAGTGTCTAGGTGTCTTAACCAGTAGCTTCCAGTCTTTAAACGGTCTATAATATCTGACTTTAGAGCAGTCCTTACCCAGTAGGTTAGTCTTTAAACTGTCTATAATCTGACTTTAGATCAGTCCTCACCCAGTAGGTTAATGACTCCCTCGTTGTAGGCAGCAAACAGACGGATGGAGTCTTTGAACAACAGTACAAAGGCTGCATTGATGACTCCGTTAGTTAACTCATTAGGGTTGGCCTGGAGGGGTGGGGAGAGAGAGAGAGAGGGGAAGGAGGAGCAGGACGAGGACGAGGAGGAGAGAGGGGAAGGAGGAGCAGGAAGAGGACGAGGAGGAGAGACGGGAAGGAGGAGCAGGAAGAGGACGAGGAGGAGAGAGGGGAAGGAGGAGCAGGAAGAGGACGAGGAGGAGAGACGGGAAGGAGGAGAAGGAAGAGGACGAGGAGGAGAGACGGGAAGGAGGAGAAGGAAGAGGATGAGGAGGAGAGAGGGGAAGGAGGAGCAGGAAGGGAGGACGAGGAGGAGAGCGGGGGGGAAGGAGGAGCAGGAAGAGGACGAGGAGGAGAGAGGGGAAGGAGGAGCAGGAAGAGGACGAGGAGGAGCAGGAAGAGGACGAGGAGGAGAGAGGGGAAGGAGGAGCAGGAAGAGGACGAGGAGGAGCAGGAAGAGGACGAGGAGGAGAGAGGGGAAAGAGGAGCAGGAAGAGGACGAGGAAAGAGGGAGGAAGTGGGAGCGAGAGAGAAAATCATTTCAAAAACATATTTCTCAATCTCGCCATCTAAAAAAAAAAATCACCACAAATGAAACATGTCAGCTCACACCTGAAGCCCATCTCTCCCACTGTAAATACACACATTCCATTGAAACCACACCCCTCCTCAGCACACACTCACCTGGAAGTCTAGCAGTGCGTCTAGTTGGTTCTGGATAATAGGCAAGGTCTTGATGAGCTTCTCTGTGCTCATGGTACGCATTACGCCGTCAATCCTGGAAAATATACACACACATTTGCAGTTCGTTTCCTTTTCCTGGACCAGCTGGTAGTGACAGGTTGCTAAGGCCTGTTTTACCCGATTCATCGTATAGAATCAACCTGACCCGTACTGTGCTAGATGAATGAAATAGTGTGTCCTACCCCCTCTTCATCTTGGTAAAGTCCACAGCCACCAGTCTGTAAGACATGGCTTTCTCATTCAGATAGCGGCTGTACCGACGGATGAATGTAGACATGTCATAACCTAGAGAGAGAGAGCGAGAGCGAGACAGAGAGACAGAAAGCAGAGAGAGAGAGCAGAGCCACAGGACAACAACAACACAATTAGACCGAACCAAATCATGAAAAAACTAAAAAGAGAATTACTTGACATATTGGAAAGAATTAACAAAAAAAATGAGAGGGAGACTTTGAGCCAACCTCATTTGACGGAAAACACCACAGTACCCCCAGTGAAAACACCACAGTACCCCCAGTGAAAACACCACAGTACCCCCAGTGAAAACACCACAGTACCCCCAGTGAAAACACCACAGTACCCCCAGTGAAAACACCACAGTACCCCCAGTGAAAACACCACAGTACCCCCAGTGAAAACACCACAGTACCCCCCAGTGATGAAAACACCACAGTACCCCCAGTGAAAAACACCACAGTACCCCCAGTGAAAACACCACAGTACCCCCAGTGAACCCCCCCCCCCCCCCAGACCAAAGCAGTGTGGGCGTGTATAATCATGCGCTAGTATTGCATGAGTGTGTGTCATAACATAGATCATACCTTGCAAAGCACCTTTGTCCAAGAAGTTGTTCACGTTGAAGAGGGTGTTTCTAGAAGCCAGATACTGGATAAGACGCTGACAAAAACGGAAGGAAAAAAAGAAAGTATCAGTTCATTTTTTTCTCTCTCCATTTTTCTGGAATTTCTGACTAAAGAGGGTCCAAAAGATCCCATGGTTGCGTCCAAAATGGCAACATATTCACTACGTAGCACACTACTTTTAACCTGCGCCCATAGGGCTCTTATATAGGGAATAGGGTGCTATTTGAGACACATCCCATCTTTTCAAGTATCAACATGGACTAGATTCAATTGGCAGGGGTGAGGAACACACATACACACACAGGGTTGGGAATTCCCGGAAAAGAGGAGTGCTCTGCTGAGACATGAGCAGTCTGGAACATCAACGTTCCCGGCTGACGTTCCCCATCTATCCCAGCGTTCCTAGTTCTGACGGAGCGTCTCGGAATGCGGAGGATTCACGCTACGCTTGCCGACACGCTTGCAATATCCGTCACACTTCCGATGACAGAGAGAGAGAGACAGTTTATTGTCTAAGAAAACATGAAAAGAAGGAATAGAAACGGACTTTCATCATATTCTCTCTCTCTTCAGCATTTCTCAGAGCAAGGAGGAAGAGGTTGTCATGAGGTTTTTTTTAAGGACTGGTTTGAGAGCCGAGAAAATGTGCTCTGCGGATTGGGTGTGTGTCTGTGTGTGGCGTGCATGTGTGGTGTTAGTTAACTAAGCATTTGGCCTGTGGTAAAGTAACTTAGTTTAAAGCATTGGGCCCAGGCTGTTAAACTTCTTCACCCCCTTTCTGCTTCCCACTATACAGAGAATAGGGTGTCATTTGGGACGCACCCCCGGAGTGGTTGTATTAGTTGGGGGACATTTTGGTCACTTTAACTTGCCGTTAGAAGGGGAAGCGTGGGTGCGTGGCGGGCGTGAAGAGAAACAAGCCTAAAAACAGGTCAAGTTTCACTTGGAATAGGAGGGGAACCGAGAGAGGAGGACAGAGAAGAGAGAGGAAAGAGAGAGAGGGGAAAGAGAGAGAGAGGAAAGAGAGAGAGAGAGGAAAGAGAGAGAGGGGAAAGAGAGAGAGGGGAAAGAGAGAGAGAGGGGAAAGCGAGAGAGGGGAAAGAGAGAGAGAGGAAAGAGGAGAGAGAGGAAAAGAAGAGACGGAGGTGGAACGAGAGAGAGAGGTTGCAAAGAGAGAGCGGAGGAAAGAGAAGAGGAAAGACGAGAAGAGGGGAAAAGAGAGAGAGAGGGGAAAGAGAGAGCGGAGAAAGAGAGAGTGCAACAGGACCACAGACTGGCTATACAACACAATTGGCCCAGAGCTCATGTGATCTGTAGATTAGGGAGAATTCATCAGTAGAGCTTTCATTGGAGCGTTCACTCAACTTGATTAAATTCAATTGACATGCATCAAATGGGTTGAATAGTTCCAAATAGGAAATCAGGGCAAGATGGAGACATGGGAACCTACGCACATCCACAGACTGCTGATAGATGAATGGATTCAGAGGAGAAGGTGGGGAGAGGAGGGGAAGAGAGGAGAAGCGGAGAGGCCTTGAAACGGATTCAGAAACAGTCCACAAGCCCATCAAATAATTCATGTTCGAATAACGTGTCAGAGAAAATCTAAATCTATTATTAAGACATCTACTGAGTCTTCAATGAGAAAGCCCTCGCTCTAACTAACCACTCTCTCGTTCAGTCTCTCTGCATTTCTATCTCTCCCTTTCCGTCTCTCCCTTTCCGTCTCTCTCCCCCTCTCTGGTTGAATTCCAAAACTTTAACAAAAAACGAACTAGCTATACAACCAATCCTTCTCCTTCTCTAGCGCTCCTCCTCCTCCATCTATTGCCTCCTCCTCCCACTCCCCTAGGCTCCTCCCCCCTCCTCCTCCTCCCACCCCCTCCTCCCTCCTCCTCCTCCTTTTCCCAGCGCTCCTTCCTCCTTCTCCAGATCCTCCTCCTCCTCCTTCCTCTTAAGCGCTTTCCCCCTCCTCCTCCTTCCTCTGCGCTCCCTCCTCCTCCTCCTCCTTCCCCTAGCGCTCCTCCTCCTTTTCTGCGCTCCTCCTCCTCCTCCTCCTTTCCTTCTCTAGCTCCTCCTCCTCCTCCTCCTCCTTCTCTAGCGCTCCTCCTCCTCCTCCTCCTCTAGCGTCCTTCTCTCCTCCCCTCCTTCTCTAGCGCTCCTCCTCCTCCTCCCGCTCCTCCTCCTCCTTCTCTAGCGCTCCTCCTCCTCCTCCTCCTTCTCTAGCGCTCCTCCTCCTCCTTCTCTAGCGCTCCTCCTCCTCCTCCTCCTTCTCCTAGCGCTCCTCCTCCTCCTCCTTCTCTAGCGCTCCTCCTCCTCCTCTACCCCTCCTCCTTCTCTAGCGCTCCTCCTCCTCCTTCTCTAGCGCTCCTCCTCCTTCTCCTTCTCTAGCGCTCCTCCTCCTTCTCTCACTCTCTCTAGTTCAGTCTCTTTGGGCAAATCCCTTCAGTCATCTTTACCCCATGTCCTGTTTTCAAAACTATATATATATATGTTTTTTTAAAGACTCAAAGGCATTGCCGTTGCTGCTTGCGATTTTTGTTAAAGTAATTAGACTCAAAGTTCCAAACAAAAAAAGGCGAGAAAGGAATGCGTGTTGAAATAAAAGTATGTGTGTTTCTTTAGGAGAAGGTTTGCAGTTACCACGGAAACCAAAGAGCACTTCCCAACAGAAGTTGTGATGTTAACTGAAAAAACACACACTCCCACCACACACACACATGACGTAGTACCCCGTGGATTTAATCAGAGGATAGTGAGACAAAGTTGGAGTGGTAGGATAGCTGACTGACAGAGAGAGGGTTAGGGTAAGATTTATGACTGAGAGAAAGGGTTAGGGTAGGATTTAGAGCTGAACCCATTTAGTCGACTGGTCGATTGTCTGGTCGATAGGCTGTTGGTCGAACGAGATTTCTTAAGTCGAGCAATAGCAAAAAATATATAGAATTTCATGGTGTACAAGACACCTGCCTGATTGCCGCCTGTCTGAGTGGACTGATCCATTGTGGAGGCCGTGGGGAAGGCAGTCCATCACTAAGACATGTCCTACTGAAATTGTACACTGAACAAAAATAAAATGCAACATGCAACAATTTCAACGATTTTACTGAGTAACAGTTCATATAAAGAAAATCAGTCAATTGAAATAAATTAATTAGGCCCTAATCTATGGATTTCACATGACTGGGAATACAGATATGAATCTGTTGGTTACAGATACCTTTTAAAAAAAATAGGGGCGTGGATCAGAAAACCAGTCAGTATGTGGTGTGACCACCATTTGCCTCATGCAGCGCGACACATCTCCTTCACATAGAGTTGATCAGGCTGTTAATTGTGGCCTGTGGAATGTTTTCCCACTCTTCAATGGCTGTGCGAAGTTGCTGGATATTGGCAGGAACTGGAACATGCAGTCATACACGTCGATCCAGAGCATCCCAAACATGCTCAATGGGTGACATGTCTGGTGAGTATGCAGGCCATGGAAGAACTGGGACATTTTCAGCTTCCAGGAATTGTGTACAGATCCTTGCGACATGGGGCCGTGCATTATCATGCTGAAACATGAGGTGATGGCGGCGGATGAATGGCACGACAATGGGCCTCAGGATCTCGTCACGGTATCTCTGTGTATTCAAAATTGTTAAAGATTAAAATGCAATTGTATTTGATGTCCGTAGCTTATGCCTGCCCATACCATAACCCACTCTGTTCACAACGTTGACATCAGCAAACTGCTCGCCCATACACTGGGTCTGCCATCTGCCCGGTACAGTTGAAACCGGGATTCATCCGTGAAGAGCACACTTCTCCAGTGTGCCAGTGGCCATTGAAGGTGAGCATATTCCCACTGAAGTCGGTTACAACACCGAACTGCAGTCAGGTCAAGACCCTGGTGAGGACGACGAGCATGCAGATGAGCTTCCCTGAGAAGGTTTCTGACAGTTTGTGCAGAAATTCTTCGGTTGTGAAAACCCACAGTTTCATCAGCTGTCCGGGTGGCTGGTCTCAGACGATCCCGCAGGTGAAGAAGCCGGATGTGGAGGTCCGGGGCTGGCATGGTTACACGTGGTCTGCTGTTGTGAGGCCGGTTGGACGTACTGCCAAATTTTCTAAATCAACGTTTGAGGCGGCTTATGGTAAAGAAATTAACATGACATTCTCAGGCAACAGCTCTGGTGGACATTTTTCATTTTTTTATTTCACCTTATTTAACCAGGTAAACGTTGAGAACAAGTTTCATTTACAACTGCGACCTGGCCAAGATAAGCAAAGCAGTGCGATAAAACAACACACAGGTTACCATATGGGGTAAAAAAAACATAAAGTCAAAATACAACGAAATAAATATTACAGTGTGGCAAATGTAGCAGTATGGAGAGGCAATAATAGGCTATAGTGCAAAATACATTAG